GCTAGCTTGGCTTCAGGCGCCGTAGTAAATGTGTAGTCTTAAAATGCCTCTTATCCTACGGAACAACTGAAATCTAGAAGCGATTTTAAATCTACCGTCCGTTGAAAAGATTTGATCAAAAGGCGAGTCTAGCCAAGAAAAGTACAAGAATCGGCGACAGGCCTATTCTTCAATGCCGAAGATACTATACTAAAGTACTATCAAAACTCGTTTAAGTACACGGACCGGTTTAGATACTTATTGCAGCCTAAGTGCACGTAGCATCCGATTGCTCGTCTGTAGGTTCTGATTGAAAAGACATAAGTGACTGGCTGATGGTGCTTACACTCGTAAATATTTTTGTTTGAATGGTACTAGGACTTCAGTGTTTTATTACAGATTCAAGTTATTTTTAAATTAATTAATTAAAGTAATTAAACTTTTCACCTTAATCTGCTCGAGTCGGATGAAGAAATATCCTGTCGTCCGATGCACGTGTCAGCGGCTCAGCGCAGTCTAGTTTGTTTCGTAATATATTGTGAAAATATGATATTTTATTATATATACGTAAAATATTCGCTGAGGATGCAGGTCAATGTATTCAGTTAGCTGGCTTCGTGGTTCGCCGTGACTCACTTGGACAGTGGACACTGTGGATGCATGTGACTGAAATATGAAAACAGGAATCACGAACCAGTAACGCGTCATCGCAGACGAACTGGAACTTTATTTAACGGTAAGCATCCTTAACGATAGAACGAATAAAACCTTACTGATGAAACCCCATGTAACCTTATTGATGAAATCCCATAAAACCTAACTGATGGAACCCCATGTTACCAGGCTTATCGATGAAACCCCATAAAACCTTACTGATGAAACCCCATGTAACGTTATTGATGAAACCCCATAAAACCTTAACGACGAAACCCCATACAAATTACTGATGACAACCCACAAATCTCAACGATGAACCGTTATAACCTGCCGCACGTTTCAATTTCTTCAATAAAGCTGTAAGTCCCGCTACGATAAGCTGCCTAACTTCAAATTTGCTAATAATAAATGCTTCAAAGCACATCTCCAACATAAGCGCTTACTCACCCGATCTATGTCAAATCCCAGTTTAATTTGTAATTGTTTGTACTGTTTAAAAGTGAAAAAATTACTCGAATATCCACCGAATTATTTATATTGAAAATATGGGGAATTAGCTTGTCACTTTTTCCTTTTGATTGAAATGGCAGATTATAGTATGTTTCGTTATAAAAGTTACAAACAAACGATATTTTTTACGAACATTATCGTTACAGTTCACTAGACTCCTTTTCGTGCGGCATAGTTGACAACTTGACAGTGTCATTTTTTCATCGTCAGCTTCAGCCCACAGTATATTTAAAATCTCCTTCCCATTGGTAGTGGCCCATTATGTTAGTATAAAAAAAATTGTCAGGATTGAGACATTAGTTCTAACCTTGGTGTAGTTTATCTTGTGACTTCCGGTGAGTGATAGCTTCCCGTCATATGCTCTTGGTCTATTTTACTAATGCGTACTATAGAGTTATGAACGTTTTCAGGAAAAAAATTCTAAAAGTTCATGAAACATTACATCTGGATACAAAGCTGAAAATTATTTGAAGCGGAAACGGCAGATTGTGTTTACTGTTCGCAAACAAATATCTGGATTGGAGGTTTCAGCAGAATAATTAGTAGAATGTACACGGCAGGCTTACGATGCTTACAGTTTGGTTCTCTACATGGAGATTGCAATGTGTTCGTTCATTGTTCGTTCGTGATCCTGAGAATACTGTGTCCCACTTCTGGGCAGTGGTCCAATCATTTTTCTACTCGTTCTAATTATTTCTTATTTGGCAGATCATCTCACCGCTTCCTGGACGATTTCACGGAACATTTCTGTTGTGGCTTCATACTTGCCTTCAATACCTTGACTTTTTATTTTGTTTGGCGTACATGCTGCATTGAAGGCTCCGGACCTCCGGCGTACACGCCGCACCATCCTGGGTATGGATTCCAAGTTTCCAACGCTCTGTGTTGGAATTCCAATGCCCTGTTTGAGCTGTATCGGAATATGACACAGCTCGGAACGAGCTGTGGGTGTCTAATTCCGAGCTGTATTGGAATTAGTTACGTGTCTAAAACCATCTCTTAACTTAATCATCTATTAATTTATTTACCACTTAAAATCAGCAAATACAAGTATACCTGAAGGATTTCTAATATATTCACAGACTTATTTAAAAGTTTCAAACCATAATATTCTTTCTACACAAACAGTTCATCACTTATGATCACTATTTGGTAGAACAAGGTCAACTATCAACTTTGACACATTTTTAGATGTTCTCACTGGGTGACGTGGACTTTTGCTCTGAGGATCTTAACATTCTCCTGCCAAACCTAGTGTTTTGCGGAAATCTGGCATGCAATAGTATGATGTCACTATTTCAACCATCTACGCATGCGTGGAACTAAGACAAAGCTTAATATAAAGGAAATGGTTGAGAAGTATTGGAATTACCCATGATGTCGGAATATGGTGCATTTACCCTATATGAGGAAGGTGTCTGTTTATGTAGTCTGTTTATTTAAAAGACTTATTGCAAGCTGCTTTGTTAATCATTGTCAGTGCCGTGAGGCTCTCTCAATGTAAGCCCTCAAATGTATGCACTCAGAACCATCAGAACTGCATGCTACATCAAGTAGTTTAAGCTACTCTGAGCGCAAATGCTTGGGGGTGCAAATTTACACTCACAGCCATCAGATCTGCATGGTACAGTGCATAGTTTGGGTGGCTATGAGCGTGTATGATTTGGTTCTCAAATGTCACTCACAGCCATCAGAACTACGCACTACAGTGCAGTGCATACTTCAGGTGGCTATGAGCGCGTGTTCTTTTGTGCTCAAATGTAGCTCTCTCAGCCATCAGAACTGCGCACTGCAGCACATAGTTCAGGTGGCAATAAACATGTATGCTTTGGTGCTCAAACGTAGCTCTCAACAGCCATCAGAACTGCCAACTACAGTGCTTAGTTCTGGTGGCTATGGGCATGTGTGCTTTGGTGCTCAAATGTAGCTCTCACAGCCATCAGAACCGTGGGCTACAGCACATAGTTCAGGTGGCTATGAGCGAGTATGCTTTGGTGATCAAATGTAGCTCTCTTAGCCATCAGAACTGCTAACTACAGTGCATAGTTCTGGTGGCTATGGGCACATGTGCTTTGGTGCTCAAATGTTAGCTCTCACAGCCATCGCAACTACATGCTAAGACACANGTGCTTTGGTGCTCAAATGTAGCTCTCACAGCCATCAGAACTGTGGGCTACAGCACATAGTTCAGATGGCTATGAGCGTGTATGCTATGGTTTCTCAAATGTAGCTCTCACAGCCATCGCAACTACATGCTAAGACACATGGTTATGATTGTACTGTGTAGATCAATATGGCGCATTGGCCATATGGATTGTAAATCAGGATTTATTGAGAAGCATAATTGGCAACCGGTGTCCAGTGGCATCCACCTTGGCGTCTTTGGTGCATGAAATTGGCGTCCTTGACCTATGTTGTGCCACGCTTTACAGTCTGGCATCATGGGTCATCACAAAATTGTGCATAGAATGTCATAGATGATAGAATTGTGCTCCAGGCAACATAGAATGAAAAGTAATTAACATAAACTATGATTTATTTCTCCAGAAAATATGATGGTTGTCAGTTGTCACTAAAATATTCCTTTCTGTTTGACGTACATTTTTTACAATCTTTTTTGTTATAGTGAATTCACTTGACCAAATTAAAATGGTGTGAAATTACAAGCCATGCAGTAAGCTTACAGATACAGAAGAAATGCTATACAGCTGCTGATATGAAGCTTGCAGTGACAAGATTGTTGTCAATGCTCAATGGCATGTCTATGGATACGGTAATATCATGTCAATAATGCAGTAATGTATGGTTATGGTAATACCATACCAATAAAGGAAAAAGAAGTAAAAATCACAGAAAATGTCATTTATTCTACTGTACATTCACATCATCTACAAAGGAAGAGGAAGACTTCAGAGTACTGTTAGTAGTTGATGAGTACACTGCGTGCTTCAAAAATTTTAAAATTAAGTTTTATTTCAAGTGTCCTGGATTACCCTGTTCCCAGGGATAATTCAGGATGCTTTTATTTGGGTCTGGCACATTACGAATAGCATAGGTATAGATTTTTGAAGATACCATACAAAGCACTTGCAAAAAGCTTTAAAATGTGCACAAACTTGTTTATGAAATATTTTGTGAAAAGAAGTTATTAACAAGAAACCCTCAAAATTGACCCCTTATAATCCCGTTTGACAGTATGGAATTTTTTTGGAGATGCCATACAATAGCCCTTGCAAAGACTTTTAAAATGAGCCCAAAGTTGTTTATGAAATGTTCCATAGTAAAAAGTTATTAAAAAATCCTCAAAACCGTCCCTTATATCCCTGGTTGACAGTAATTAAATACAAATTAATAACATTATATATGTGCCACTTACTTTAATTCATATCAATTGAGATATTAATGAATAGCTTCCTAGCTGCAGCATAATCATGATAAGAATTTGATTGCAAATTAAACATATTTGTTGTATAAATTTTTCCATTTCATATCATATTTCACATGAACTCTATTTTAGTAACAACTAAAGCTGATTAAGATCTTGGGGCTTTTTAAATAAAAAAATAGTTGCTACAGCTAAAGTAATGCTGCCCAAACCTTGTCATCTTGTTTTCCAATTCATCAATCAACAATCATACTGCTTGGTGAGAAAGTTATCTTTATATCATATTTCTTTGTATTATGCAGCTTAACATTTTATGACCTTTGGTAACTACCTTTAAACAGGGTAATAAGGGACTGGCAGGGTAAATTTGGACAGTCCTCTGTCATGGTGTTAAAATGTCATAGCAGCAAAACCTTGAAGTATACCTATTTTTGTTGAGAATTTTTCTTTTAAATGTTCTGTTAAATATAAAATTGTCTTTCATTTTCTGATCCCAAGAGCGCTATTTTGTATTTCTCTTTATAATTTTGTTATAAATTACAACATTCAGTTTAAGTATTAACTTACCTTCATTTTGCTCCTCATAGTTTTGTTCCCAGTTAATGTTGAAAATTTCTGTGCTTAGCGCCCACAATTTTGCTACATGGATTCACTAAAGAATTTGAAAATAATTGTTGATGATGAAATTACTTCTTTTCTGCTTAATGAATACGAACCACCTGATCACATGAAGACTCTTTCCTTATTTCAATTGAGAACTTTGACTCAAAATGAGTTGAAGGGAGCATCTTGTTTGAATTTGAAGAGGAAAAATAAGTTTATATGTGAAATTTTAGATGATGTTATCTGTCAACTCAACAAAAGAATGTGCACTGGAAAAGATGTGGGTGAACGGAGTATTCAGGATACTGACTGTGAGCAAAGAGATGTTAGAAGAGAATTGGATTCTTTGCATAATCTAAACTGCAGGGTGACAAGATCAAAGATGGTAAATTCACAAAATTTTCCAAAACTTTCTGTTGACTGCACCCAATCTGGGAAACAGCATTGTGAAATCTGGTCAATGAATAAAAACCTTATACAACCACTGATAAACAATGAAGTGTCAGTTCCAGCAAGGAATTTAGGTGTACAAGCAAAGCGCTTCTCAAATGATTGTGCTAAGTTTCAGTTGATGAAAAAAGTACCAGGAATGGAAGCTACTTCTGAAAACCAAGCAGGTAGCCTAGATACTGCTACTGTGAAAAAGGCTTCTGGCAGGAAAAATTTGCCAGAAATCAATGAAATGTGTGAAGATTATGAAATGTGCCAAGGAGCTAAAAAAATGTCTTCAAAACAAGAATCGAATGGACTAAATTCTAATAAAAATATCAATTCAATGAAGTGCAGCAATAAATATGGTCTGTCAGAGATTAACTCCTCATCTTCAACAAATGATCTAAATTGCAACCTGTCGAATAATGAATCCCGTTTCCAGAGAGAGAATGCTCATGTAAATACTTCACGCTATGGCCGGCCACTGAAACAAAGGTTCAATATTAGTACAGCTGGATCATTAGAAAAAAATTGTACAAAATCATGCCCTGAAAAAAGTCATGTATCGCGATTTGGAAGGCATCTCAAAAATGTTGAATTTTATCAGGATACCACCTTTGCTGAAGTAAGAAACAACAAAGGCAAGGGCAAATCCACTAATAAAAAATCTGCATTATTATCCCATAATGACAATGTGACAACTTGCAATGATAACCCTATGCCATTAGAAAGGAATTTTAAAGTTACAAGAAGTCAGAAATCTGAAAAAAATGAGATTCCTTCTCACAATGAATATCAGAAAATTGATAATGCAATGAAAACCCAGAACAGAAAGAGCAGAGGAAAAAGAGTTCCTAAAGGCAAAGAAAATCAACCATCAGATCCTGGTCAATGCATCACAAAAAGAAAATGCCAGAAGAAGCAGCTGCCTGTTGAACAATGCCAGTCTCAAAATGCAGTTCCAGAGAAAGGTAAAACTATTAATGTGATTTGTTTGATTCATTCAGGACTGTATGAATGAATGTTGTATATTTACTTACCTACTATGTATATGCAAAATTTGTGGGTGTCTGTTCAAGCATTGTACTGCAATAATATGACTATTCCAGACCACATATATGAAATAGATATATTGATCATAAAAATATTACTTGGACCTGAAATTTCTTTTTAATTATATTTTACTTATATACCTACCTATTAGTTATATTTTCAGATAGATTAAATTTTTTCATTCTTTTGTGCAGTGACAGCTCGAAAGGGAACCCTCAAACATCTGAAACAACGACACAAACGCCAGCAGTTTTTAATGCAGCAACAACAGCAACAGGAGGATAATGACGCTGAGTTGTTCCTGGACAATCCACACCTTAATGCTAACAACAGGTTCAAGGTAAGTCTTTTACTCAGTTGATGTTTTACTTTCTAATTAGCTGCCAGCAAGCTTATGATATTTGAATGCTCAGATTTTGGAGAAGTTCTAATTATTATTGATTTATATTATGTCACTATCCTTACTATGTATTTAGATTAAAATGGATATGAATAGTTAAATGTGAACTAACTCAACACCTGTCATGCCAACAGATGAAGATTCTCCAGACTGACTTGAGTTCTGGTAGCCTCACTGCAGGAGGGCTAACTCCTCAGCATTCTGTGAACTCCTCAGCATTGCTGCCGATGCTTTCACCTATGACACCATCAAGTGTGTCTGTTGGAGACATGTCTTTTGACACGCCTAGGGCACCTGACAACTGGGACTGGCTGAAGAACACTCCTAATGCCAAAAACCCAACCAGTCCTTATTATGGAGGCAATTTCAATGTTGTGCACACACCTGTGATGCCAGAGGCTGAGTGAGTGATGAAGTTTTACATTGATACATTTTTAAGTGATTATACCACTACAAGTCATGCCTTCTGGTGTGATTGTGCAGTCACAAGTGATATCTTCTTGTGTTATTACGACATTGCAAGTGATGCCTTCTTGTGTGATTACTATATCATAATATGATGAATTGGTGATAACATCTTGCATACCTGTTACTTCCATGTTCAAGGCTGCTCTATTATTATTGTTATTAGTATCATTATTATTAATTTTATTTTTGTGGGGATAAATAGCTAAAAAGGGAGATTATCTAAGCAAGAAGTTAAAATTTTGGCACACTATAGATACTCTGTACATTTTTACTGGTGAAAATGTTATTATGTCTAACTAATTTTTTTTATCAGTGATATCCACCGGATCATCTTTCACCGAGGAAAAAAAAGCAAGAAAAGAGGCACACAAAAACGAGATGCGCCTGAGGTATTGCCAGGGAATTGCTCAAATGTTGTTGAAGATGAAACCACCGCAGCTGCCGTTTTGCCTGCACCTTCTAATGTGAGACACAAGAAGAAAAACTTCAAATGGCTTCAAGTGAGTTTTTGTGTAGGTTGAGGCAAAACTGGCAGGGTAAGTCAATGTGTTGGCTGATGTTGAACTAGTAGGGTAAGTCATTGTGCTGGCTGATGTTGAACAGGCTGGTTAACTCATTGTGTTGGCTGAGGTTAAACTGGCCGTGTAGGTAGTCATTGTGTTAGCTGAGACTGAAGTAGCAAATTAAGGAAGCTTTTCAATATGTATGCCAAGGAAGGGGCTTTTATCGAGCAATAGCGTGTTACTGACGTGGCTGTCAAAGAAGATGTCAGTGTGTTGTCAACCTTGAGGACCTAGGGCGCATTCTGGTGAGCTAGTCTCTCCCTCTTTCCAGAAGAACTTTCTTCTTTTGCTGCTAAAGAAATAAAATGTTTAATGTTGTTAATTATATCATACAAAATTCTTCTCCAACACAATGACAAATTCCCAATGTTTTCAAACCCTGAGATGCCACAAGACTTTATTTAAGATCCTATTCATGGTAATTTTAGTATACTAGTCTCATGAGTTGTGTAGCCACAGGAAACCAACTCCAAATTTTTTTCGAAAGAATGTCAACTTCTTTCTTTTGTTAGATGCTTGAACATTTTTGGTCGAATTGCTCAAAAGTGTCATTGGTTCAGCCCTGCCATATGTAGGAAGTCTAGGAGTAATATTACCAGATGACAAGATGCCCTTTGGATGCTGTGGACAGCTATCTGTTATTTTTATAAGCATAAATTATTATTAGTTCTAGTTTCACGCTTGGAACATGTCAAGGAGGAAGACCTACTCTCTCATTTCCTTGCAGCTGCCCGAGCTTGAAACTCCTGAGGACACCAACGATACTGACGAAGAAGACCCAGATGCATATTTCTCCGACGAGTCCTGAGTCATCGCACCTTGGACAAAATTACCGCAACCTTAATATCAGCAGTGTTAACTTGGCTATCAGTGGCATGTTACATTAATTTTGGTGAACTCCACAGATAATTCTCAGCGTTAATTTTTCTGTCATGAGAATAAACTTTACTATCATTAGGAGTAATTTTGCTATCATCTGCGTTAACTTTCCTATGATTTGAGTTAACTTTAGCATCATCAGCCTTAATTAACTGCGCCATCACTAGCATTTACTTTGCTTTCTTTAGTATTACCTTCAGTCATAAAGTGTATGGATTAGTCGCACATGGTTAATTTTTTATGTTATGATATGCTAATAAACTATCTGCTGAAGTAATACTAAACCAAAATTTGTTGCACTTTTTCTAACATAGACCGTAATTTCTGCATCTGGGCTCTTGATTCAGTTTTGGTGTGAGATTTTTCTTGTAGTGCGTCAATGTAGTGCATTTTAGTTGCATTGCTTTTAAGAGAAAAGAAACGAATTTTAATTTTGTGAGGAAAATTCTCATTTTGTTGAAAATTTTGCTGCAGGTCTTGTATAGCATCAGTGTTCCATGTTCACTGTATATCTATCATTGAAAATTAAATGCAAATTAAAGGTTTAAAGGGACACAGTAACACATAGCCTCGTTGATTTCGTGTGACTTACTGACGAAATAATTGCAATGGTGAGCTGGACAGAATCGTAGCAGATTATTGTTATTTTATGATTAAAGGAGTACAATGTGTATAAAGGTGTGTCTGCAAACCAATTAATATTAGAGAAACAATTAAGTTACTGCTTCCACTTCAATGTTCATATTCACTTCTGATTTTATTGGCTTTTGACGTGTGTAAGTTTTCCACAATTTGTCCTTGCTTTTTATGTGCATAAAGGATGTTGATGCTTAACTTGAAATTTTCTGGTGGTATTTATTAAAATTTTTATGTATTCATTCATAGTTATCAGGCGGCATTGCTTCTGACTCCTAAAATATCAATTAACTGTTTTTTTGGTTACAAAATTTAACAATGATTAGTATGTGTTTTATGGACTTGCAATTGTTTGTATTCAACTAAAATTCGTACAGCGCGCTATCAAGGTTGAGAATACATGTTGAAATTGTTTTTCCTATGAAATCCTTTCAGCATAGCTTTTGTATCCGAATAATATCTAACAGGAAAAATTCGATCATTACGATTCTCAATAATAGTCATAGCTTTCCACGTAGAAGCGATGTGTTTAGTAGTTAATTTGCCATGTTGCATCCACCAGGTCATGAACATAGTCGCGCATCGTGATAATAATTGATGCTCTGCACCGCCGTGATTTGATGTCTGAGGTTAAGAGATGCTCTACAAATAGTTGATTTGATGTGTGATGATCTACAAATAGTTGATTTGATGTCTGATGCGCTACAACGAGTTTATTTGATATCATGCTCCATAAATATTTGATTTGATATCTGATGCTCTACAACGAGTTGATTTGATATCTGATGCTCTACAACGAGTTGATTTGATATCTGATGCACTACAACGTGTTGATTTGATTCTGATGCACTACAACGTGTTGATTTGGTATCTGATGCGTTACGAGTTGATTTGATATCTGATGTTCTACGAGTTGATGTGATATCTAATGCGCTTCAGAGCGGTAATTTAACATCATTCAAATAAATTAACTTCATGCTGCGCTTCTGATCAACATGGCAGATTCAAGTAACTGCTCAGCATGTGGCATTGTGGTCACAGTCAGCCATTTTAAACTAAATTGCACACAATTAACCAAATAACGAAGAGATTTCTACACAAGACTGGAAGGCCTATCTCTTCCCTGGGATCTTACCACGGCTCTTGGTGGTGGGGACATCCCAGCGAGGAGCCGCACTACTGTCATTCGACATCTTGGTCATTACTTGCTGAACTGCAATATGGAGGCCAGGTTGTGAATGCTCACCTGAAACCAATTTTACTCTTCTTTCAACAATGTACTGCCACATTGGCTGGTGAAACATGTGGAAGTGATGCATTCAAACACAGGCAAGAATAGAAAATAAGTCTAGAGTGAAGTGACTCAAATCAAAATTCAATTGGTGCTCAGGCTGGGAGGTGTGTTTTCTACATACCCAAAGCCTAATAATTCAATGAAAAAAAAATTGAACCAAGGAGGCAAGGATCACCAAAATTTGCAAAATATTTAACATTACGAAATTAATTTTTTGCATACATTTTCAGATTATTTTATAAGTTCTAACCGACGTACGCCGATGCGCAAAACTAAGGACGATGACACGTTCACGATCGCATAGGAACAGGGAGACTGCCACAGACTGGGAGTCTGGGACTAGTGGGAGTGTATCTTTTAATGATTTAGGTAATCTTTATCACTACTGCCACTTATGTTCTTTCTACTGTTATTTTTGGCGTATTTATCAACATCTAGGCATGTCTTTTAGGTATTTGAAGTAGGTAGGGAGGCAAAACCAGAATTCATTTAGGTACCTTTTCCTTTTATGCTTTGCCTCAAATGAGCATTTAGATTTTAGTCCTAACTCCTAAGTCCATTTACTTTACTACCCAATAGCCTACTTGTCTCCTTTAAACTCTTCAAACCCTGTACGGAGCTAATTGAGAACAGGGCTGGAAAATTCTTATTTTTTCTGAAATATTGAGGCTCTAATATCATACTCATAGGTCGGGTAAACACACAATAGGTATTCCGACACTTTAAGGACATAGCAAGAAATGAATGGCTATGAAAAGATCACCATATGTGCAACTCGAGTTCTGATTGCTTTACGTCACTCTCAAAACACCACACTATGGCTACGTGCCAGCAATGATGATTGATGAAACGTTCCAAACTGTTGCCATATTTATTTAAAAGCCTTTAGAATTCAAAATCTATAAATCGCTGAATTTCAAAGCTGTGTGTGACTAAATTTGGCATATTGTGAGACCAATTCCAAGTTCTGACAATGCTTCAAAACCGTAATTTGTAATTCCAAGTCCCATACCCAGGATGGTGCTGTTTTCCGTGGATTAATCCGGCGTACACAAGGCTCTGAGAACTTGCCCCTGCGTACGCTTTGGCTTACATCAGGAATATTTTGTGTAATTGGGGTACACCCCTGGTGTACATCAGGAAAAATTTGTGCACTTGGTGTTGGGCTATTGGCGCAGACATCCGACGCACATCAGGAAAAATGTCGGCGCTGCGAGCCTGCGGCGTATCGCGGTACCGCCACTACCTCGTACAATACAGGCGTACATTCCTAGGGCTGCGAGCGCAGGGCATGGTAGTACAAATAGAAATTGTTAGCTAACATATAAATTTCTTTAAAAAAATATAGATACATATATGGTACCAGTAGACTCCTGCGTCTCAAAATAATTTTCTCGAAATGAACCGGGACAGACGAAATGAGACGAGAAAATTCCGGGAAAAAAATAACAGGACAGAGGGTAAAATTTGTCCCGGAATAAACGTATGAACCGAGACAAGATTTCTGTCCCGGACTTTGAAACATGTGTCCCGGTAAATTATGAACCGGGACAAGACAGACAGATTTGAAACGAGACAAAACGAGACGAGACGAGATTTGTCTTAATTATTTAAGACAAAACAAGTTTTTCGATTACGATAGGAATCATTTTGAAAACATGGGTTGAAGAATGACAAGTTAGCCCTTTATTGCTAATAGGGCCATAACAGTTACCAGTTAAATTGAGTTAATTGCAGATTTAGCAAAATTTGTCTGACTTACTGACATGGCAGTTAATTAGTGGTCCGACAAACACCGCAAACCTGTCGATGTATGCATGGCTGAGTATTGAGTCAAAAATGTTACTCTTAAGTCTTAACTAAGGCTTTGATGGCACTTAAGGGAACCGTACGAATATGAGTCGAGTTCATTACGCGTTCGGAACGAGTTCAGGCGCCATCGAGCGCATAGGGAGTAGGGACGCAGTGTCTAGATTAGTCGGCCAATTAGTAGACAGTGGAGTGGAGTCCTGGTAAGATATTCCTAATAATACTAAAGCTAGTATTAGATTATCTCTGCCTTTAGTAAAATTTTGTGCTACGCCTCCAGGAAATCTTCACAATTGCGCAGTTTCCTGAATTGTTATCAAACACTTGGGCTTGTTTAACGTTATTTAGAAAGGATACACATGGATATTTCGAGTTATTTTTTGAAGATCAAACTATTATATTTTTTTCAACCTAAATTTTGTTTTATTTTAAAATGTTGTTGATATTTATTTCCAAACTTCTTGTTGAAGGAGATTGCTTAAGGCAAGATAGTTGAATCTGATTCTGTGATTGAGCTGAAGGGAAATCAAAGTCAGTACAGTCAGCCGATGTCACCAGCTACAGCTAGTATGGCCTTCTCCTAACCATCATAGAACACAGTTTAAAAAAAAACGTGTCTTTCCATTTTTATTTGCCTGTCAAGATTAAGTACCATATTAAACCACAACTTGTATTCGTAGCAAAAATCATTTCAATTGCCGAGCTCCGATCAGAATAGTAAAAGGAGACGTCTCAAGTTATTATATAAATGCAGAGGTGGGCAGTAGCGCGCTACATGTAGCGGCCGCTACATTTTCAGTAGCGGTAGCGCCCGCTACATATTTAAGTAGCGATACGAGGTTTTGCCGCCACAGCGCTACCGCTACATTTATAGATAAAGCCTTTAGATTTTACTTAATAGTATTAAATATTATTTAAAAACCAGCAAGCTACATTTCAAAGTAGCGCTGCCCAGCTCTGTATAAATGTATGATGGTAAGCCAAAGTTTACACCACATCAATAATTGACTCGTCTTGTTAAAATGGCTTTAAATTCCGGGAAATTTTAAGGTACCTATTTTAACCGGGATGTCTCGTCTTGGTATCGTCCTGGAATTCCTACAGAGGGCTGAAAATTGTCCCGGTTTTTATTGCGAACCGGGACAGAGCCTGTTGTCTCATCTCATCTCGTCTCGGATAAAAAAAATACCAAACGCAGGAGTCAAGGTACCAGTATATAAGATTTAAAATTTTTTAATACTTTTTCATTTCAGATTCTGTGGCCCATTATAGATGCCAAAACACACTAATGTCGGATGGGAACAAAACAAAGTCTGATATCCGCTGCTGCGATTGGAGAATCTGGGTACGCAGCCATGCACCACTAAATTTGTGCACCTATCAGCCTTGAAAGGAACACCTAGCATATTTCAGGATGACCACCAATGAGTCCAATCAGCTGCGTATTAAGCCTTCCGTCGGTAACCAGCCCGTGACATCATCTTGCTTTAAATATTGGGAGCTTTATGCCACCACAGCTGGATTAGTCTAGAAATTGTGAACGAATTTTGATTCAATTATATGGTTACTGACGTATATGAACACAATTTTCAAACAAACGGCATAAACCCGATTTCTCAGCACCTCCGAAAAGTACGTAGTGCAAAATTTACGGAGAGTTCATTAGTTCCGTTCCGAGCCAACTCATATTAATTATGTCTTGCTTTTCAAACTCGGGGCTATTTTTCTTCAGTAGGATATTTATCAATTACTTCGCAACTAGAAAGTAGATGACAGTTGTGCTGTTAAAAATAGGTAACAAGAAACCGGCATAGAAAAGTTTATTTACGTATAAAATTAGAATTACATCGGAAACTTGATTTCATTTAAGGAGGAGCTCTAGTAATTAAAGTCATATTCTATTTTATACACAATTTATTGGTGGAATAGTGGAACACTGTTGGAAACTCAGTACAAATAAAAATTGGTTTTGCTGCCTTTCTGTAGTCAAGAAGCCAATTCAAAATTCTGGTAAAATATCTGACGCAATTACTACGACGATTCGTCACGACTCTCCAACGAGAATAAATTTGAAATGCGTAGGTGCTATAACACTAAACTCAAATAACTTTTGAATTTTCAGGAACAGAAACTTCTTTCTATTTACAAAAGAAAATGCCTTTATACTTCAACGTAGAAACAATAGACGACATAACACGCCAAAAAAGAGAAGGCCGAGCCCCAGCAATCCTAATCATAGACGTCCTGCTTGTCGCCGATGTAGCGCACGATGTCTATGGGCCGCAGCAGCTTCTCCGCATCCGAGTCTGGAATCTCAAATCCTGAGAAATAAAAGAAATATGTTACTGCTAATGTGCATGAAATCATTCAATTATAATATAACATGAACTCTTGGAATGACAGGAACGGAGCAGTAAATTGAGGACAAAATTTAATATTGGCGGAAGAATAAACAATGGTAGAAAAACAAAAGCAGAACACGAAAGAGTGGAAGCAGAAATACATTGCGTAGAATATAGTAGAGTGAGATAGGCATATTATGCATGCTGTGTTACAAGCAGGATGCCACGAAGGGCAACACGTGCAGTGCTGCCTCCTGTTGCGAGGGAGATAAAGCCATCTGGACATCAACCTCAATCCTCAGTAAAATTGATAAAAAAAATCTACATTAATATTGAATTATAAAGGTTAAATGTTATAAGTGACAGTCCAGCAATGAGTCTTAGTTATGGAGCGTTATCCTGACAGACAAGTTTTTGAAATTCACGGTTGCTTTTTATTGCGATGTAGCTGTCTTCGATCTCTTAAGAGTTTCCGTCTGGTCGTGTGTACATGCTTAATATTAGGTTTTAGGTATATTAGTGCAGCAATAACAATGAGTTTTAGTAATCTTTTCCATACACCAGAGCACTTGTAAATTTTGTGGCATCTGGGCGCGTTATTCTGGCGTAAGCTGCATTACGATGTCAACTAAAATCGTAACGGCCAATATTTTATCAAAACATTGACTAAGTAGGTATATAAATATCTTGATTGTTTATAAAAATAATTTTTCACAGTAAAATTTGACCATTCATATGTAACGTTAATCATCCATATTAAATTTGTGATAGCTTATTTCCTCAAAAGCTATCACAGCATTCGGCAGTTGTTGCTCTTATAGACAGTGTAACCCGAGTAAGGCATCACGCCAGCCATCCAAGACGGTCGACAGTGAAACCTAAGATTATTCAAAGGTATCAGGCTGCCTGATCGGTGGTGTTACCAAGCTGCATTTATAGAGAGACGACACAAGGACGCGAATCACGTGATCCTTGCTTCATGTTGGACATCAGACGGCGTCATATGTGCTGCACAGCATGTGGGTGCTGTGTGTTCAGTATATTTACAGTGCAGCATGCGATGTCATGGGCAGCTACAATGACCCCTTATGGACATGTAATTTCAACAATGATACAAATTTAGGCAAGAGCACTTAATTTTCCCAAGTACTATTTGCTAGTTACATTGAGTAAATTAAGCATTAAAAATGTTAACTAAAGCATTATTTTTCACCCACCAAACTCATCTTCCAGTGCCATGATGACCTCAACATGATCCAAGGAGTCCAGACCAAGATCCTTCATGAAGTGGGATTCTGGCGTCAACTGAAAAATAAATGAAGAATAAACAAGAGAATTGCAGATGACAACACCTGATTTGAATTCGATTATTCTAACACTCTTCCCTGTGAATATTTCAGACATTATTGTTCTCAATTATATTTCTCATGATAGTTTAGTGATGAAAAAGATAATATATAATACAACATTATTTGATAGAGAAATTTAAGCAAGGTACATCACATGACATGAATATAATCATTTACAATCATAAGTAATTTCAAAGCCTACTTCTCAATAAGAAAAAGATTTAATTTCATCAATTCAAAATTCATCATCAAACAGAAAAAAACAGGAAAGCAAATGGATTGAATGTAAAGAAAAACTTCATTCTAGATGTTAAATGAGCCAGCAATGAGTTGACCTTTATAGAAAGCCATACTTGTCTAGTGGACTCAATAGATGATACAAAGTAGAAAGTTAAATTGAGTGAGGAGCTACAAATGAAGGAGGCATCATTAGATGATTCCAAATAAAGATCAGCTCATTGGCAATAGAAGACATGAGTAAAGATTTTAAAATCTAGGAGTATCTACCTTGTCAGGATTGATCTTGTCATAAAGGTTGAGGACAAGTATGACTCTCTGCTTAATTACGTCAAGTGTAAGAGGCTCAAACCCGCTATAGTGGCGCGCACCTCCCACAGTCTGCAATGAGACAACAAACCATCATAAGGGCAGCTTCAGAAAGACATGCAGAGCTTTGAGCATGACAAACCTGAGGGCAATGAGCTTGGATATGCTACAGGCTCTGCTGTGCACCTACAGCCAAAAAGGATTTAAACATAAAAATCTTGGATGACTGAAAACTACCCAATTACTGGAGAAAAACTAATATGGAATGAAATAAAATTACCTTCTCAGCATTAATTTTGTCAAATTCTTTGCAAACTTTGAGCACTCTGCTCTCAATGTCTGCAGGAGAGAGTTTAGCACTGTAGGATCTGATGGGCTGTAATGAAAGATAACATGATTATAAACACAGATGTAATCAACAAGGATGAATACCTGAAGAAACATAGCCATAATATATCATTTCCCAGAGCAATTATATCATATTTATCATGAGCATTAGAAAGAATGACATGGTACTTGATTACACTATCATACAGGAGTCTTAATTGAAATGAATATTAAATTAATTTAATTCTTTGGTCCTATAAAAATCCACTGAGGTTAAGCAGCAGTTATGTGCAACGTAAAGCATCCAACATCAGCAATAGAAAAGGGTAAATCTCTGGTTATAAACACTAAGCACAACAAATTGCCAAACATCAAGTTTGTCTAATCTAGATTATAAAATTGGAATTATTGTACCTATTTGTTCCAAATCAAGTATTTTTGCTGTCAAGTACCTACCAAATTTTACATGAAATAAATACAACTTCTTTGGCTAGATGAGCAGAAACATTTATTGTTGAATTAAATCATGAATGATTTCATATCTCAGAGATAAACATGTAAATTGCTCACCATCAATCATTCCTGTCTCAAGCACATCTTAAGGGTACCAGAATTTATTGATTAAAAATCTCACTCTCAGTAATTCCATTCATTTATTTATCCAGAACAGACTGAATAGAAGTTGCCTAACACTCTGTCTATGCCATCTTCCAAGTTCAAAGCTCAAAGACTACACAAATACTCAATTGAAATGATACATTTTGTCTCATGATTATTGGAAACCATAAGTTAGAAGGATACTTTCACAGTTTCACTTTCAGTTTTTCAATAAATCTGATGTGAATTCTTAATTTCTAATATTGATCGTTGATAGAAACCCAACTGTATTATCGCACATGCATAACGTAGGTTGAGGACACTGATCCCATTACTAAGGTTGTATTTCAATAAAGGATGTTGAGGTACAATTTGAACTAAATCTATACATTGAGACCAATTCAAGGTCATGATTGCTTGGTGGAAAGAAAAAGTGCAAATATCTTGCTTTTTGAAGCCTGCAACTAAAGCTTTTCTGCCATTTTTGGAGCAGCAAGATTCCTGCTAGATGAATTACACCCCATCTAATTGTTAACAAAAGTAAAGTGTACAATCAAGCCTAGAGATTATAAATGAATAAAAAATTTGTCATTTAAGATTTGCAAGATTTCATTTATTAATAGGAAAATTCCAATCCTCGATGAGGACCTATTATAAAGTCGGTAAATTTGTTATATACTAATGAATTATACATACAATTGGCTGTAAAGTGTCATTTAGATTGGAGGCCTATGGCTATGCAGTCATTATAATTATATACACAAGTTATCTGCTCATTCTGCTGCTCTGCATAATGATAATGTGGAAAAAGCTTACACACAGTCACTCACACTCAGTCATGGCTTAGTGTGATAAGATAAGTAGACTAGTATTTTGGATACCAGCATTATAATACATAAGATATTAATTGAAATATTAAGTAAAAGTAGGTATAGCAAGTTTGAAGTTGACAATTTTATTCTCAATTTCAACCAGGCAAGATCAAGCTTACCAGCTATATTGTTATAGTAAATCATTGCTTTATAGTAGGCTGAACCGCTGAAGTTCCATAGTGGCAAAGCAGAGAGTCGCTGAACTCTGAAATATAGCCATTTAAATTTGATTTCATATCTGTAGCAATTTCATTGCAAAGGGATGAATCATCATGAATGCTCTGAAAAATGGTAGGTAGGTAAATTCACTAAATTGTCAAGAAATGTTTAGGTATACCTACAATCATTCATTAGGTATACATTGTCCTGCACTCCTGCTACAGTGCTACCGGTAGACGGTAGTGATGAATACTTGACGAGGTGGTTTAGTTAGCAGTCAACACTCAACAGGTCTGAATTATCTTAGGCTATGGGACTAATTGGAGTATTGGAGCGGCTGGCGATAAGTCTTGAATAATTAAAGTAGGTACACAAAAGTTGCTGAGAAGTGAGAACTAACCTGAAACGATGAAAATACGGGAAATGATACATTATTGTTTTTACTGAGAAGAATATTACAAGTAGTTGATGCAGATCGACGTACTACATTTTTACAGATGGGACTAATCGAAGAAATTAATCTCAACGAACGCAATACAGTAGATGCCATCTTGCCCACAATTCGCCGACGACTGACGCGAGACAGGGGACCGTCATACAAGTGCCTACCACGCATGCATCATGTGTGCGTTTACTCAACGACTTGAAGTTCAACAGCACAGCATCTGATAATGACCTTGAAAGGCTTCTGTTACATCCTGACAATTTTTTACTATTCGCACGTGCCGACACCGAGAGATTATCACTTTTTCATGTGCAATTGTAACTAGTAGTAACGTAAAAAGGAATGCAACACATTCCTGACGATATTTGACGTGCAACAAGGATAATTCCAGGCTTGAAGGGCAAGTCCTATGAAGAAAGATTGAAGATTATGAAGCTTCCAAGCCTCAGTTATCGACGTCTGCGTGGGGACCTNTAGCATAGTACTCTATTGCATTTACTAGTACTCCATCAAGCATGTACTCTATTCATGAACGACTCCACCCTCGGAGCGTCAACGATGCCTGCAGGGAGTCTATTTATCATTAGGTGAGTTACATCGATTTTTTTTAGTTTACAACAGTACCCCCTAGTATTGGTAAGTGGTAACTGTTTCATATTTCAGTAATCCATTGGTAAACTCTTATACGTATAACATGAGCATACTCGTGTTCTTCGATGAAGACGCCACGCAAACATAGATAAAAAAATGGGAAGCTTCAAAATCGCTAATATTGCTTCATTCTTCATTTCACGTGTTTAAACACTCTCGACTAAGTTTTTGTCTTTCTTTCATTTCGTTGACAACATGGCATTTCCTAACTGGATGATCGGATACTCGTACACGAGAGCGTGAACAAATGCTTCACCGTTTCTGCATTTGGGCACTCGTAGGAGCATCTGATCAGTCGAATCCATTTATTTCCTTTAATAAATTTCAGATCCTTGTCGACGAACTCCCATTTCTTTCATTTTCTACTCATCAATCATCACTCTGTAGTGGCACGCATGTCTTCCAATATTGAAAGATTGCTTGTCATTGACAATACCAAAAGTGATTTAATTTACACTTCTCGGTATTGGAAGGCGGCTGCCATATATGAGCCTAGGCAAACAGGCTATCCAAATAAGCTTGCAACTGTACTTGTTCCGAAGCATCCTTGCAATATTCCAATATTTCCTTCATCCAAAATTTCCTTCGTGACGTAATGTATGTCTCAGCCAATGCGACATGTTGTGAGAGAATGTAACTGAAGGTTAAAATATCGGTGGAGATGATATAATAGAATAGAAGTGTCGGCGTTGAAGACATAGGCCCATGGCCTGTTGCCGATTCTTGAACTTTTCGTGACTTGATTCACAAGGGATCCGGCCTTTGGAACCCGATCTTTCCATAACTGACGATTGATTGAGATAGCTGCTGGACTTATTGCCTGCTCCGTAATTTGCTAGGCATTTTAAGACTGAACATATGCTCCTGCATAGCTTCGTCTAGTCTGTTTTTGAAGATGTTCATACTCGGAGCTTCAACGATGCTATCAGGGAGGCTGTTCCACATGTCGGTGACTCGAAGCGAGAAGAAATGTTGTCGCATGGATGTGTTCCAACGCTGTTTTTTTAGTTTATAGCCGTGGCCCCTGGTGTTGGTTCTTGTTTCAAATTCTAGTAATCCTTCTGGGACCTTGTATAAGCCATGAGTATATTTGTATACTTCAATGAGGTCCCCACGCAGACGTCGATAATGGAGGCTTGGAAGCTTCATAATCTTTAATCTTTCCTCATAGGACTTGCCTTTCAAGCCCGGAACTATCCTTGTTGCGCGTCTTTGAACACTCTCTACTAAATTTTTGTCCTTTTCAAATTTCGGTGACCACACGACGTTTCCAAACTCCAGGTTCGGGCGCACGACAGCAACAAACAACTGCTTCATCGTTTCTAAATCTAGGAACTCGAAAGAGCGTCTGATCAGTCCAAGTCGTTGATTGGCTTTATTAACTTGACCTTCAATATGCTTAGAAAATTTCAACTCATTGTCGATATTAACTCCTAAATCCTTTTCCGTTGTCGACTTCGACATCATCACTCTGTCGTTGCAACCGTGTCTTCTCATACTGTAATCTTGCTGTTCATTATTCTTGCCAAGGTGGATAACTTTACATTTGTCAGCGTTAAAACGCAGCTGCCACTTATCAGCCCAGTCAACCAGCCTGTCAAGATCACCTTGCAACTGTACTTTTTGCGACGTATTCTTCACTGTATTATAAATTTTTGTGTCGTCATCATACATCGGCTAGGAGACAACTCCTTACACTCTCCCAATTTCGGCGGCTTGTCTGCAGCGGAATTCTCCCTGGACGAGACGAGGCTCACATTAAACTAATACCGACCAAGCAAGAATGATCAATTGTGATCATAAGGCGAAAAACGATCGACTCGATGTATTTAATTTGATGTATTTGTTTCAATTCGGATTCCAGGAGGCAATAGGTAATGGATTGAAAATACATTAGATTTTCTGGAATAGGAGGAAGAATTATTATTGAATTAAATGTGCAGATACTTTCACTGCACATGAAATCCTTGTAATGATTATTCAAGATTTTATGTATAGATTTTTTGCACTACAGTCTATAGACTGTACAGATAGTACAGTCTATGCGGGTTCTACAAGTCGCGAAATGAGAATATCTCGTGGCAGAGTTGAATTGAGTTCATAATATAGAGATTGAGATGTAATAGACGTGTTCAAATATTGTAGCGTAAGTAAGTAGAAACAATTGCCATATCGTGCACTTACTCGTACGAATTTCAGGTGTCAGCCCTGCTGGACTCCGCTGCGAGCAACGTTATAACATGCCCGCCATATACCTTCTAGCGAGTTCAATTCTCTATTGAAAATCAATTAAAATGTTTTAG